CGTCTTTGTTTCGTCAATGTTTCCAAAGCCAAAGAGGAAGATGCTAATATTGACTCTGATCGGTCCTGTGCAAACGAGAGGGAAAAACAAGCAGAAAACAAAGCAAAAAATGAAAATTGAGGTCAATAGGGGTCGACATGGCTTGGCGATTTGTTTTGGGTTCTGTTTTGTGTTTTGTGTTTTTGGTTTATTCTTTCACGTACGACTCTCCTGAGGGGGCAAGTATTTATTGTAAACGGGGGCAGTTGTAAGCAGTACAAAGACGTCATTGTTAAAGGCATCAATAACGCCCGTTGGCATGTCACTCGAAGAAGGTCTGCAGTTGCCCGGTGACGGCGAAAAGAGGAGGACAAAGAAGAACACTAGAAGCAGTGAATATCCGGTTAAACTCAAGTTACACTGCCAATAAGCTATTCTCTGGCTCAAAGTCGCCATGCTAGTTCAATGTAATATAAGAACAAAAATCACAGATTGAGTAAAAATTACGAGTAATGGTAAAGAAATTAAATGGTAGTTATGAACACATTAGATGAAAGTTTAATTGTTACAAACTGACTAAAAACTGTTGAGATCGCCAAATCAGGTACCTAACACTGGTTGCCCCTTTTAACAACCGCCGCCGATTGCCGCACTGTCCACCAATCAGTAGCGCTTGCATGAGAGTTTGAGTGATATAACCATTTCCATTGCTAGATATTTCAGTCTGAAAATTTTATCGGTTTTTTGTGGTGTTGGGTGCTGCTGGTACTGCCGCCACTGGAGCCGTAGTCACCAAAGCTTTGGTCGCACCAAAACCCAACTGTTGCAGTGCTGGCCAACCTGGCTAATCGATGTGTGAAAGTGCAAATCTCGTCGTCAGTCGATGAAGGGCAATAAAAATTGTCCGGTTACTACGTCTGCTTCTGCCTTTGCTTCTGCAGCTGATGATGATGCTTGGACTGATGCTGCAAATGCGCTACAAGCGTGACCAGCTTTACACTGGCTATAGATGCTAGGACTGATAGTCCAGCCAGCACAGCCAGACGACCCAACACCATGACGGATCTTCTTTTTTGTTATAAATACCACTACTACTACTGCTGCTGCTACTACAGTTGATGATTTATTGCCGCTGCATTAGCTCCTCTGCTCGGCTGATTGGCGATGGTGATCAGTTAACTGCTGATGCTAATGCTGTTGTTGTTATTGTTTTTGATGGATTTAATGTTGTTATTGTCACGGGTGACCATGACCATCAAGTTCTCGGTGATGGTGGCATTGACTTTACTGCTGAATTTCTAGTGTCGATTCAGGTAGCGGGAAAATGCTAGTGCACACATCGCCGCCTATTGATTTTACTTGAAAACTTTTCTTTTGAGGCAATATAAAAAATAAATGCATTCAGAAATTATTTTTATTACAATTTTGTCATTAAAATGTGTAATTTACAAAAGAAATTGAATACTGATTTGAGTTCACAATTAAGAAATTTATTTTGATTTTTCTAAAGTAATAGTTTTTAGTCTAAAGTCTTCCATTTGTCGGTGCAAACGCTCTTGCAAATTGGCATCTTTTTGAAGGCCCTCTAACAGAATGGCGTTAAAAAGAAGCCGCTGATTGCTCCTTTCGATGCTCTGTTTTAAACCGTGTAATCTGGGCTCATTTCAAAACAAACAAACAATAACCAATCAATAAGTCAAGGTCAATTATATGCCTACTTACCTTTCAAGCTGAACTGAACACTGATGCAACCGTTCAATGTGAGCAATGACATGCTCCTGTAGAAAGGCCAGCTGCGAGACTAGTTGAAGTTTCTTTTCTAGCTCTTCAGAATAAGTAGTTTCCTTTTCCTCTTCTTTGCTGGTAAACTTTTTATAAAAATTATTATTATGATGTTGGTGATGATCACTAGATGAACTATTGTCTTCATCTTCATCTTCAGCCATTGTCAATTTCTGCAGCCATGCCAGTTTGCTTTGTATACTTTGCAACTGCTCAATGGCAGATAGTTTTTGCTGCTTTCTCAGTTGCTGTTGCGGCTTCCACATTTTCGCAGAGTTTGCAATCGACGTCTTACTTCTAAGCGACTGTTGCTTTCTGAAAATGTCACAACAACAACAACAGCAACAGAAGAGACCTTCCCTGTCTGTAATTCAATTTGAACTTGTTCAAGCCTCTTTCATTTGTTGCTTTCACTCTCACCGGTGTGTGTAGGCTGAAGGCAGCTATTTTCATTTTTTCATTTCATTTTCGTCTGTTTTGTTTGTTGTGATTTACATCGCAGTTTGTAGTGTTCTGTTCTTGTTTTGCATTCATTGGGCTGCTCGATAAGGCAAAGTTGGCAGCCTTTACTGTCTGACTTGTTCTCCTTTTGATTAACACACAAGCATCATTAGTTTCCTCCTCTGCTCTCTCTTTCTCTCTTTGCAATTTTTTTACCGTTCTGCCCTTTTCCCCTTTTAGACTTGCTGAACCCATACTAAAGTTTTTTTCTATGACTTCAAGTGGGAAGTGAAAAAGCATTTGCATTTGTCGCGACAAGCACGAAAAGCGGCGATTAGCACTTTAGAGCTGAGAATGCTGATAACGACAATGATGAACTGCAGGAGCAGCAGCTTGATTTGCATAATTTAGCAATAAATGTAAAAGTGAAATGTTGGAAATGGTTCATAATATTAATAATTGAAAAGTTCATATTTAATGCATCCCATATAATTCATTGTGATTTTGACTTTTTTCAATCTGAGAGTAAAAAGATTCAGTTCCAACATGTTGCTGAATTACTCTGTAAAGTGTACCTGCTATGCACTCGACAAGCTGAAGAGGAACTAGGAAAAGAAAATCCTTTACTTACAAGAAGTGTTCAATGGCCACTATCATCATTTCAAGGCTATCATGTTTGCCACCGTGGTGGCCGTCAATCAACAGGTGTCAAGAGAAGAAAAAGAAACAAAATTGGTGCGGGTTTTTCGTTTTTGTATCCAAGTCAAATGCAAACAGTCAAAGCGATCATGCAAATCTTGACTTGATTGGGGTAATGACAACCTGCCAAAATTGTCAAGTGATCGCTAGAAAAAAAGTAATGCTGCTTCTTCTTGTATCATTTGCTATTTCAAAAGTTTTTAACAATTGAAGCAAAAATCCAGCAATGGTGCTAATTAAAATCATCGCATAGCACACTACTTTGAATACTACAAAATCTATTTTTAGGCAGTAGCAATGGTTATTTAGAAATTGAAACAGTTGCCCACTGCTCATCTTTTCAAAATTCAGCGTCAATGGTTCTTTTCAAATTGATAATTGGCTTGCTCTTGACTTTCATCGAAGACTGCTGCCTGACCACCAAGCTATTGAACTTTTTTCCTTATTCCCGCATGTTGAAAGGACTTGTTTGAGTGCATTTATCGGCACTGTGCACTTGGGTGATGAGGATATCCAGTGTTGAAAAGTCAGCCCTCTCCCGTTCATTGCACACAAAAGTGTTGTCTTTCACAATAGCCCAGTGAAAAGACGAAACATCACCGCGACAAACAGCAAGCAAACGCGGACAACAATAGCGCTAAATTACAAGTACAATTGCCGTTTAAATGTAAAACACGCAACAGTTGCGCAGTTTTTGTGTGTCTGCTGTTGCTACTTCCAACTGTATTGATTTTTGTAATCGAGAAAAAAAAAGAGAAAAAGAAGAAAAAGCAGTAGTCGGCGATGTTTTAGTGGAAAAAGATGGTAAAGACGAAGAAGAAGACGCTGAGGCGATCAATCGACTGACTAAACAGCTCAGTTTAGCTCAGCTCATTCATCTGACCGGACTTGGTAGTGAATGAATGTCGGCAGTGGTGACTGACTTTTACAGACTTTATCTTTTTACTGTTGTGCAAGTAAAAAGAAGAGGAGGGCCAAGATGACCATCACTGAATCTGCTCAGTATTGGCTGGTGGACTTTTGGATGGAACACGGCGATTACCGCTCCTCGCAGTACCTGATGATCCGCTATGGACTGGCACTTCCGCTGGTCCTCATTCTCGTCTATGTCCTCTTTGTCACGCAAATCGGCCCTCGACTGATGGCTAACCGACCTGCCTACAGTCTCAAGTGGACCCTCATACTGTACAACACCTTCATGGTAGTGCTTAACCTTCACTTCTTCATCGAAACACTGCGTCACTTTCACTACGGCTTGGACATCTTTGACTTTGACTACCCACCGGTGGATGACACTAGCGAGCACACGTTGAAGAAAGTGTGGATGTCTCACAACTACCTGATGAGCAAGTTTTTCGACCTTTTTGACACCATTTTCTTTGTGTTGCGGAAGAAGCAATGTCAAGTGACCAAAACTCACTTGTATCATCACATCAGGTAAGTTTGAATTTTGTTCAGGATTCAAAAATAACATGCCATTTTAGTGTGCCTTTGCTGGGCTGGATCGCTGTCCGCTTTGTTCCAACTAACAACCCACTGGCCATCTTTGCCATTCTCAACACATTCATTCACACAATCATGCACTGCTACTATGGCCTCAGTGCTTTGGGCCCTGCAGTGCGGCCATATCTTTGGTGGAAACGGTACATCACCCAGCTACAAATTGGCCAGTTTGTCGTCTACAACATCTTTGCAGTGGTTTTTGCGTGTCGACAAAAAGGATATCCACCACAACTGCTCGCCATTGCCTACAGTCAACCAATTCTTTTTCTGGTTCTTTTTTATCGATTCTATAAGAAAGCTTATGGTGGTAGTGTTAATAGAGTGAAAAGCGAATGATAAATTGTATTTTTGTTGTTTTATTGTAAAAATTAAACTTGAAAAATTTATTACAATTGTATGTTTGTTGATATGAGCAAATATCATTTTTACTCAACAAAAGGTTGTCACTTTTAACTGAAAGTGTTACTCAAAAACTTGCAAAAATTTTCCTTTTGCTAAACCGACAATTTTATTTTATCGACATGCAACAAAACAACAACAAGAAATAGTTCCAACAAATCAAGAGGTAGAATTATTTGTTATGCTGAAGTTGAGGTTTACTTTCCGTATCCGTAACCTGAAAAAAATTTTAAATTATGAAAAAAAATTTGTAATTCAAGTAACATTCTTACCACCACCATATCCTCCTCCGTGGCCTCCATAGTGACCTCCCTTCTTAATAATCACCTCCTTGATAATTTTTCCTACAAAACAAAAACATTTAACAAAAATAAAAATACAATTGTTATTCAATACATACCGCCGCCATAACCTCCTTTGCCGTATCCTCCATAACCTAAATTAAATTTAAAATAAGTAAAAAATAATTTGTAATTTAAGTAACATTCTTACCACCACCATATCCTCCGTGGCCTCCATAGTGACCGCCCTTCTTGATGATCACCTCCTTCTCAATGATCTTGTGGCCTCCATAACCTCCATGACCTCCTCCATAACCTCCTCCGTATCCACCTCCTAATTTTTTTTTCAAAAATGATTACATTCATTCATTTTGTACACAAAGACATCATTTAATTACCGTAACCAAAGGCAGAAGCTAGTGAGACTAGAAGGCACAGAGCAATGGATGCAACGATGATGAACTTCATGGTTTTTGTTGAGATTTTTGGTTTGTCTATTTGACGTGTGTAAAAAGTTGCTGTGATGATACTGATGCTGCCTTGATGAAAGCGTTTTCCTTTTTATACATTTTTCACAAAGTCCACCCTCGACTTAATCACCGGTCTACACAATTGTCACTGTTTCTTCATTGAGGAAACAAAACTGCCAGGAAGTGGTGCAGACTTGCAATAGAATCGCCAGTTTCACTGGGCAATAACAACAATGTAAAACTTTTAAAATCAATCCTTCACACACCGCCAAAAGCTGGTTGTCGGTTTCCTGAACAGAGAAAGGGAAGAGAGATTCCCTGGTAGTCACACAATGACACAGATTGACATTTACATAATAAAAAAAATGGTTGCTCAAGGTTGCTGAACAGTTCAGTTGAAATGCAATAACTTAATTTTTGCATTATATAACTGGATAAATAGAAATTTGATTGCAACTCGTTTTTATTTTTAACCGCAACGCAATAAACTAATTTTGTGTTGTTATCGAATGCTGATCAGGTGAAACCCAACAGCTGCCATGAAGACGAGCAACACAAACCAGGCGGCAGGCATTGCAATGCCTAGAAGAACGACAACGTACTTCAGATCCCAACCACGAGAGATGACGGCTCGCATGGCGTCCAGGGCAAGTGTCTGCGGACCAAAGTAGCTCACCGGTTTCATGAAGTACTGATGAGAATAAAGCAAAATGTGATTTACAAAAGAGGAAAAACAAAATAAAATTTCAACTGAAAAGCTAGCATATTCTGACAGGAAGTGATAGCACAGCGATCGTACATTCAGCTGTAGTACCAACTGCAGCAGCTTTCCTGAACTCAGATTCTCGGTTGTACTTTGTTGTGAAATACTTTTGTACTCAAAACACAAGTTTCCCCTTCTCTTACCGGCATTGCCTCAACGGGCCAGAAGATTCCGGAGATGATGGAGACGGGCAAGAAGGAGGCCATAGAGAGAGCCAGTGCTTCGCTTTCATTCTGACTAAAAGCAGACACGACCAAGCCCAGCGCCATGCCGACCATGCCCTGAATCAGCGTGATCAGGTAGACAAGCACCACTGATCCCTGGTTCTCAATGTCAATAATGTAGAACATCGTCAGAATGCTGAGCAGCACTTGGACGGCCAGCACCAGCAGCTGAGTGCTAATCTGCGAGACGATAAACTCAAAGGTCTTCACGCCGGCGACCAGTGTTCGCTCAAAGACGCCGTCCTTGCGCTCCAGGACGAGCGTGATCGCCGTCAGCGCCATGGCGGCAAAGAAGATGGACATGGAGATCAATCCAGGCGCCATAAACTCGCTCATCTTTGGCGACTCGACGCCGTAGACGATGCTTTCAATTGAAATAGGGTTCGGTATCTGCGTCGTCTCGCTCGGATCGACGCCAAAGAGTTCGCCCGCGGCGGTCATCGTTCGGTTGAAGGTGAGCCAGATCTCCTTTTGAATGGTGTTGGTGATCACTAATTAATCACTATGGTAATTATTTATTTTGTACACAAAGGCATCATTTAATTACCGTAGTTGGTTGTGTCTAAGTGCAGGCCAATGGTTGGAATTGAGGATGAGGTAGTGCCCCCACTCGACAGATCACCGGAGACTGCCGCCTGCATCAGTCGAGTGTAGTTTGAGGAGAAGGTGACAGCCGCCCAGGCCAAACCTAGGCGAACCTGCTCTACGGCCGCATCAACCCCATCGTACCGAGTCATCTGCAGTGTGGTTGAGTTGGACAGGCCTCGGAGGAACATCTCCGAGAGGACGGCCGGTTGATCGTGATTGACCACTGCTATCGGTATGTCGTACGGGTCCGGACCCAAACAGGTGAAGTTCAGTAGACACTGGAAGCTGGGCATGAGGAACTGAATGATGAGCATCGACAGGTTTCGCCGAATGCCGGTGATGTTTTTCCAGTTGAGTGCGCTAATACGACCAAGAAAGGCGAATCGAGGCGGACTGAAGTTGACCAGCTTAGAGGAAGGTTTTAGCATGGGCACTTCGGCTTTCGATTCAACGACGATGCTTGAAATGGTTCTGAAAGTAATTTAAAGTTAAGCACTTAAAAACAGTTGTCCTAAACTAACCCATTGTCTCTTGCTGACGACTGGATACTGTCCATTTGACAAAGACTGAGAAAAACGGCCTCCAATGTGGGCAATGCCATTGATTGCAAGAGCTCATTTGGATTCCGTTCCATGAGCAGCTTTCCCTCGCGCATAAAAGAGACCAGATCAGCGGATCGCGCCTCTTCAATGTACTGCGTTGTGATAATGATGGTCAAATCCAGTTTGGAGGTGAGCATTTGCAGGTACTCCCAAATGCTTTGCCGAAGAATTGGATCCACGCCGACGGTAGGCTGTTTAAAAGTGATCATGTGTATAATGAATTCGTTTCAACGTTTTTGGTTTAGTTTACCTCATCAAGAATGAGCAATGGAGGCGAGTGAATAAGAGCGACAGCCAGTGAAACACGCCTCTTTTGACCACCGCTCAAATTTTTGATGTAGCTGTTCTTGTCTGGAAGATTGAGCAACGAAACCAATTGTTCAGTTCGCTCTTCTACTCGTTTTGGCTCAATGTGGTAGAGCTTGCCAAAGTAGAGGAAAGTTTCAAAAATGGTAAAGTCGAGAAAGAGGGCCACTTCCTGAAATGGTGGTTTTATCTAGAAAATGATTATAAATGCAACATTGCTTTTTACCTGAGGCGTATAACCTAGTCCTGGTCCGGGAATTCCACTTTGAGGCGTTCCAGGTGTGTGACCAAAAACGGAGATTCGGCCACCTGATGGCGCCCGAATGCCGACCACACAGCGAAGCAATGAAGTTTTACCTGTTGAAAAAGAACTTTCACTGAACAAGTGTACAAACATCAATTTATGCAAACTGACCACATCCTGATGGTCCCAAAAGTCCGTAAATTTTCTTCACAGGAACATTCATGTTGATACCATCCAGCACCTTATGGCGGCCATAGCTGAGCGTCACATCGCGAATCTGTACGGCAATCTCCTCCGGAGACTCTAGCCGGCTTGCTAGTGGACCAATATCGGTAGATTTGGTAACCGATTTTGACGAGTTTGAGCCATCATAGAAGCCATAGTTTTCATAACCTGTTTTTGGACCGCTTGTTGCTGCATCCAGCCGCTCTAGATCATATGATTCTGCCATATGAAAATCAAATGTTTTTCAGCAACAGCAAAAAGCGAAAGGAAAACTGCTGTACTAAAATTGTTTTTTCTTTTCACCAAAGCCTGCTTCATCATTCAACTTTTTTTGGCCAATTAGAAAAAAGCAAAAAAGACAAAGATTTTAACCGCACTGTGTTTTACTGCTAACTATGATGAAAGGCTAACACATAATTTGTCTCCACTTCTTAAAAACAGTTTGTGACGCAATTCTAAACGTGTGTGCAACTATCTGGCCATCTATCTGGTCGCCCTCAACCCGGACAGAAGCAGCTTTCTTCTAGTACGGTGCCGATTAGCAAAAGAACAAGTTCTCTTTATTGGATGATTTCAACTGTTGCTACCAAGTTTAGCCTTCCTCTACTAAAGCAGTGCACTCTTGATGATCTGCTGCTGATGTTGCTTCAGTTTCAGCTTCTGCGTGACCTTTAACTGACAACATCATTTGTATATTGCTTGAAGAATCGAAACAGATGTCATTGAGCTGCCTGCCAAAACAAGCTCACATTTGTATTTACCGGGCAGGTGTGCCAACAAAACAGGTAGTAAAAGCAACCAAAGTTTGTTGTACAAAACGCAGAAAGAAGACACACAACAGCCAACAACACTGCTGTTGCTGTTATTGCCACAAAAAGCAGGATAACGCAACGATTTAGGCGCTTTTGTCATCTCTGAACAACGCTCTTCTTTTCTCTTCACTCGCAGTTATGCGCATGCAGATGCCATCACCAAGGGAAAATGCGGCTGCCGCTGCTGCTGCTGCTGTTGACGCCGCTACTTCCTCAATTTCAACAAAGAAGACTTGGAGAACCTTGTGGTTGCTGTTTTCCTGCCACCTTACAGTGACCTTCATCTCCTGCGTGTTGACCTTTCCTCAAACGGTTAGCTGTGATCACCAGCCGCCACCGTTGAGCACCTGCAGCCCACCCTTTGGCTGCTTTCCCAGCACTCCGGACTTTATTCATCCCATTCTTCGGCCAATCAATTTGCTGCCCGAAACGGCTGCCAAAGTTAACAGTACCTTTTACTACTACTCAAGATGGTTTCAAGGAGATGATAGCTTGAAAAAGACTGTTCAGTTACCGAAAGTAGTTCGCTGTGCAATTCAACCTTTTGACCAAAAACATCCGAGCACTTCATGTGCACTGACGACGGCACTGCTTCAGAACAATGCGCAGCTAGAATTGTTTCTTGAGAGAATTAAAGAAGTGATCGACAAAAATAAAAAAGAACCTTCTACCTTTGCTTCTAGATGGAGTGCCATTGTTGTGCATGGTTTCCTTGACAATATCAATATCAATGAGGGTGACTGGATGATGGACATCAAGGATGGTTTGCTGAAATCATCAAGCCACCTTCCTCAGTACGACACAGTCATAGTTGTCGACTGGTCAGGCGGAAACGGCATTCCCTACCTCCAAGCAACAGCCAACAGCCGTTTAGTAGGCGGGCAGATTGCTTACCTTTTACGAATGCTTCAAGTAAGTTTTGTAAATGATATTTTTTTGAAACAACTAAAAGTTATCACAACTTAAATTAGAAACATAACCTTCTGGACACCACCCGAACGCACATCATTGGCCACAGTTTGGGGGCACAAATTGCAGCTTACGCGGCTAAAGAGTTCAAAAGCCACTTGCCTGCTAAAATCGGTCGCATCACCGCTCTGGACGCGGCCAGTCCAAACTTTGAGGGCATGCCAGCCAGTGTAAAGTTAACCAAGGACGACGCCACCTTTGTGGACGCCATTCACACCAACGCCAAACCACTGTACCAGTTCGGGTATGGAGTTCTGGAGCGGCTGGCTCACCTCGACTTTTACCCAAACGGCGGTCTCAGTCAGCCAGGCTGCGACAATGTCCTCAGCAGTGACTTCATTCCGTCGGCCATCGAACTATTGGTGCGACAGCCGCCTGAAAAGGCAGTGATAAGCAGTCTGGACCAGATTGGCCGAATGGTCACCTGTTCTCACAGCAAAGCAATCGACTACTTTGTGGAGAGCATCAGCAACAGCGGTAGCAATGCTCAGGACTGTCGCTTTACGGCAACTCCCTGCAGCAGCTGGTCAGACTTCATTGGAGGAAACTGCATTTGCTCTACAAAATCGGAAAACTCTTGTCCGCCGATGGGCTTTCATGCTTACGAGTGGGCACAGCAGATGGCGAGTAAGGGCGGAAAAGATGCTGCAAATTCTACCTCTTTTGGCGATTTATTCCCAAAGAGTAGACTTTACCTTGAGACAAACTCACAAGCCCCTTTTTGTAAAAAATAAAAGATTGTTTTTGTGTGAGTAAAATACAAAAAATGAAATGTTTGAAGAGAATCATGCTTAGTGTGCCATAGAGACTACTGAATTTGACCTCGACCGGCGTCCATAGTTAGTGCGAATGATGGTGAGCATGACGAGGACGATGCAGATGCTGGGAACTCCGGTCAGAAAGACCATCACCAAGCGGTAAAATTCAATGTGTTCAGTACTACCACTTTCCACTTCTGCTGGTTTGCACTGCTCCAGCACGGCGATGACAATTCCATTGACTGATTTGTCAAAAAAGCTCTGGTGTTGATAAAAAAATTGTTAAAAGTTCAAAAAGTTTAAAAAATAACTATACCATAGCGGCAAAAACAAACGCTCCAGTAGCAGTGTTTCCGCCAATTAGATCACTAGTCATGGCAAGACTGCTGATCAACAGACCGGTGCCGGCGAGGCCCATGAAGGCGGCTACAATGTACACTTGCCAGAGGCGAAAGCTCTCGTCGTGGCCAAACCAGATCCAAACAGAGGTGCCTAAACCAAAGGCTGCGCCCACCACTAGAGTTACCTGAAAAACCCACTTTAAACGTTGATATTCATTTAAATCTTTGACTTACTCTTGCGCCAAATCTAGCTGACAGCGGCTTCGCTGCAAAAGAGAAAACCAGTCCGGCAAAGTACGTAGCAAAAGGGTTGATGGCAATCGTCTTCTTTGGCATTCGCAGGTAGTACTGCAGGTAGAGGGGCGTGTACACCTGCGTAACGTTGAAAAACATACGAGCGAAGGTGTAGAGAATGGTGATTTTCCAGAATGAAAGCGACTTAAACCAGTGGTACCAGCGCTTGGAGTTGGTCTGCAGCGCTTTCAACCGACGTTCAAACTCTTCGGGATCTGCCGCATAAGAAGTAGAAATGGTGCTCACAGTTGAGTTTCTTCTCGAAGCAGACACTTCGTCTTTAGAGTTTGCCAGCAGAGTGATAATGGCTTGAGAACCTCGAGATCTTTGGAGGTAACGTTTCGTTTCTGAGGCATAAACAGAAGGTTTCACCTTTCTTGGCCGAGCGGCCGTTTCGGGTTCGTGAACAAACAGGTGAAAGAGGAGAGAGAAGAAAAGGCCAATGACGCAAACAATGTAAGCCACGTACTAAAAAATCAAAAGTTAGATTATAAAAATAATAAATAAACCTTGAACAAACCGTAAAGACAACCAGATCCTCCTTCTTAATGGTTCCATCTCCGCTGCCGCCATTTTTGCTATCCAGCGACTCGATGACAAAGTAGGTGACCGTGTAGAGGCAAATGTTAGATGCGATGGTCGCCGCTTGACTTGTTGTTAACAAAAAAAAAAGTTTATCAGTTAAAAATGTTGCACAACCTCATGACATCTCAGTCACATGACAGGCACAGCGGCAGAAGCAGCAGCAGCAACAGGAGCGACACCATCACTTCAAGCAAACATACAGTAAAAGCACCTGATGAACACGTCCGGCTCGATGCTACTGTGTGCAACTCTGAAACTGGCGCCAGCAGTGTCGGCAGCCTGTGTGTGCGCCTAGACCACTTGAGATTTCTCCAGAACGGTATCACTTACTGTGTGACCGTCAATGTTGCGGTCGCATTATCACCCACAGTGGTTCATATCAAGTTAAGCTAACCCTGACTAAGAACACTGATCTTGTATTCAAGTACTTGAGTAGTCGTGTTTTCACTAGCTTACGCACACGCACACAAGTGGCCCCCAACTTGGGAGTGCAAATACGAGTGGAAGAACGGTCAAAACTCACCGGTAAGAGTTGAGCGCAATGCGTTCATTGGTGTCCGCAGTCAGGTCGGTAATTAGCGACACGTGTGACACCTGCGTCGCCGCCCAGCCGGCTTGAAAGATGAAGACAAGAACACTGAAGTAGAAAAACTGCGACCACTGAGGGGCGTCATTGCAGCCGAGGCACTGATTGTAGACCAGCGGCACTGATATCGTGTTCATGATCACTCCCAAAAGGTGCCAGGTTTTCCGCTTTCCATAGCGAGCACACAGCCAAAAAGAGCCCGACTTGTCTGACTCGTAGCCGACAAAAGGCGAAGCAATGGCGTCAGCTACCTGACCCAGCAAAATTAGAGCTCCTCCAAGCGAGCCGCTAAAACGGTACTGAAAGAACCTGGAAAAATTAAATGATATTTTTGAAATCTGTTATTTTTAAAACCTAACTTACAGTAAAGTGTAGCTAAACCATATTGAAACAGTCAGGTCGTTGTATCTGCGAGTAGAGTATGTACAACAAAAAATGTAGAAAAAGTAGCAGTTTTAGTTTTAAAAAGGTTCCCTTACATGTGACCAAGTGAGTAGAAGAGTTTTGTCTTGAGAGAAAGTTTGTTAGGTGGGAGAAGACTGTTTACACTTCCACTGGCTAGACTGGCCTTGCGATCGTTATTGATGTTATTGCTGTTATTATTTGCGTCAAATGTTTCACCAGAAGTTTCACTGCTTTCAATTGAAGGGTTGATGATGCTCTCTTTGTTGTAGTCGTGACAGTCTTTCAAGTAGCCAAAACTGCTTGTGCTTTCATTTCTCTTCATTTCTCCATTTGCTGAACTTCCATTCTTGTAATTGGACATTTTGACAAAGTTTAAAAAAGTTGCAAAGATTTGTTGATGACTATTTGCTGTTGCAGCATACACCTGCTGCTGTAAGGTTGTCTGATCAAACCGATGCTTTCCTGACTAAGTTTTAAACTGTTTGACAACAATGTTAATTACTAAAAAATGTTTAAAATGCTGTTTCTTATCAACTACTGTTTTTAAATTGCCGACATGATAGTATGACCAGTAAGAAAAAAGGCAATACTTGCATTTTTATCAAAACATTGACATTAGCACCTGTTTGTATACCGGGCTTTATTTTAAAATAGCACTTAAAATTGCTTCTAAATTTAAATTTTTAAAACGGATATACACTAAAATAGATACAATAATAAGATTGAGATTTGTAATTAAATTTGAAATTTTTTTAAACTTAAATGCTCAAATATGCTTGAATTATCACAATTTTTAAAATAATTAAATTTGGTTAGATTCAAACTGAGTACATCTGTTTTTTGCAAAACTTTTACAGATAGTTTAGCTTATTGCTTTTAAAAAACAAATTAAAAATTTTTGTTTTAGTAATTTTATTTAATTATAGTTGTGTAAACTTAAAGATTTCTTGTTTAACAGCAAAATTGTTTTAAATGTTTGGTTAAGGTTTGGCCTAAAAATGAAAAAATTCCCAGTTTTTCAACTGAAAAACCATACAATAAAAAATATAAAGTTTGTAAACTATCTGTTTCTAAGAATCATTTAAAATACATAACATAACAAAAATATTTGAGGGCGTAATTAACAAACAACTTCAAAAATTAAAATTGCGTTTTTGCTATTTATTTTTTGATATTTTACTTTTAGACTGCTAAAACCTAACTCGGTAATTTTTTAAACAAGATGCGCTAATTCACAGTTAAGCCCATCTAATTGCAAATGCAAACAATTTTTTGTGTTTATTAGCTAGTAGTTTTTATCTAATAAAAGGCACACAACAAAATTGAACGAAAACTGTCCTTTTTATTTCATAGTTTTGAAATTTGAATTTATCTAACTGATAACTTTTTGATGAGAAAAAAACATTTTTGTTTTATGTGCAAAACGACCTGTCAGCACCCAATTAATACTCAGCTCAAGTAAAATAGTGATCGGCTCATTTTCATTTTACTTTATAGGGTAAACAAATTGTTTTGTTTTTAATATTTTATATTTTTGCAGTTTTAAAAACTTTCAAGTTTAGATTTCAAGGCCGCAGGCAATCGGATTTTCACTAGAGATTTTTCATTTAAATTTATATTTTTTAACTATTTTTTTATAATGAAACAAACTTTTAACAGTATCCTAGTACTTTTTTAAAAAAATTTTACGCGCATTTCCTTTTTATTATTCAAACGATTTGAGCATCTTTATCATCATCATCAATTGCGCTTATTTTTTTAGTTCTGACTTTTTTTTGGTATAATCCATTTAAATTTTGGTAATAAAACAGACACTCACATTCATTCATTTGACGATAGCTTTTACTATTAACATTTAACTTTACTTTTAGAGCAAATTTAACTTTTTTATAGTTTCTTGCGTCTTAGTATTAGTTGAAAAAGAAAAGCTGAAGCAACTAATTTAAGCTGATATCCGTAAAGCCATTTATTTCTCAACATGTCTACTGCCGCTACCATTTAAACTTTTTGTAGTTTAAAATTGCAACGGCCACACACACACAACTGCTGTTGTCGATGCAGTAGTTTCAATTATTGCAATAAGAAAAGAAATGCACATTATATTCCCAAGTCAGTCGTTTTAAAGTCAATTAGTAATAAGTTTTTGCCGTTGCCAATTGCAACACACATAACACGGCATAAAGTGCAAACAGGCTAACTAATGACAAAAGCAATAGCAGCTTCTTTTCGGTATATCTGATTCTCAACCGCACTAAACTTAACTTTACTAAATACTCATCCTTCTAATAACTTTTTTCCAATAATTGAAAAGCTCCTTTCCCATCCTCATATTGTCTCTTTTTCTCTCTACTTTGAATAACTGTAGCAAAAAACAGTGTCAAACGTTTTTTATTTTTTAGTTGAACAAGCTAGCATGAACAGTAGCGGTCAATCGGTTTTGAGTTAAAAACAGTTTTTTCTTATTCAGCAGAACACTGTGCAAAAACCATGTTAAACGCCTCCCTTAGTCAGCTCGGCCGGCACTGTCTGGTGGACGTCACCAGCCAGGGACTGAAGGACTTTGCCTCGCTCTTCTACCTCTTTGACATCCACGACAGCATCAAGGAGACGGCGGAAGAGGTGCCCAACTACGAGATACTGCTCTTCCCTTCCATTGCAGCGTTGATTCTTTTTGAGCAGCTGCTTCGAGTTCTCCAGCGGAAGGAGCTGACCCGTTTTGAGGACGGCGTCATCAACATCGGCTCATCGCTCCTCTTCTCACTTTGTCGAATTTTCCTCTACGTGGTCGTGGTAAAAGCTTTTGACTTTCTCTACAGCAACTACCGCATCGTCGATTTGCCGCTGCACAGTGTCACCACTTGGCTGATCAGTTTACTCTTGGTGGAGTTCGTCTACTACTGGACACATCGGGCGCTGCACGAGTTCAACATTCTCTGGGCGGCTCACCAATTTCATCACATGGCGGAGGATATAAACATTACGACGACGGTTCGAGACTCGGTGGTTGATTTAGTCATATACGATGTAAGTTAACGGCTTTTTAATTTAATTTCAAAACTAACACCTGTGTTTTTTCGTTTCAGATTTTCCCTATTCCCTTGGCACTGATCGTTCCTCCGCCAATTCTTGCACTGCACATGCAGTTCAGTTTGATCTACCAAGTCTGGCTGCACAATGAGGTGATAGGGCATCTAGGTCCGCTGGAGTACGTCATCAACACACCTCGACAACATCGCGTTCACCACGGCAAGAACCCCTACTGCATTGACAAGAACTACGGCGCACTGCTGATGATCTTTGACCGCCTCTTTGGCACTTACCAGGAAGAGATTCCACAGCAGAAGATTGTTTTCGGATGTGTCGCCCCTGTTCCAAAACACTTTGACAGTCTCGGTCTGCAGTTTGGCTACTACGTTGATGTGGCAAAAAAGTTCTCCTCTATGACCACCTTCAGCGACAAAATGTCCTCCTTATTGAAGGGACCTGGCTGGGCGCCAGGCAAACCAAGGCTAGGTTTGTTGTCTGACGTACCAGAACCAGATCCGATGGCGCCCAAATACGGCTACCAACCGGTGATTGCCACATGGAAGAAGGTGTACATCTACTTCCACGGTTTCATCATTGCCATGGGTTTCTACATGATGGCCGATCATCCGCTGGTGGTAAGTACTTCATTGAAAATAGTTTTTAATCCTGAATAAGCAATTTAAAAACGGTTGCTCTTGATTAGCGTTTTTCACCTGCAAAAGGTTTCCTATGTATGCTGTACGTCCTCCTAGCTCTGACCTCTTTTGGTGCCATCTTTGACAATCGATGGTTCGTTCATGCTCTGGAGATTTACCGCTGTCTGGTCTACTTTGCTTTTGACTACTACCTGATTGCCTACGTGCCCTGGCCGTTGGAAGGTCCGGTGATGACCGCCATATTGACGGGAGCATTGTGGATCATTCGACTGTTTCATGTGGCATCAATTATCTTTTGGGTTGGCCACTTCTTCTGTACCAATCAAAACTACATCAACAGTAGACGTTTCCGCCAGAAAAAGGGTCAAAAAGAAAGCGAGAACACAAAAGTCTACCCTTCAAATGGAAATCTAGTGGCCAATAAGGAGACTAATAAATCGGATGCTGAAGTAAATTGCACTCGAAGAGAGAGCACGACTACTACTTCAGACAGTACCATCGCCGAAACTGAAACACTCAACAAACAAAGTTCACCTAACAACTTGAAGTCAAATACCGTCATGTTGTTGCTCTCTTTGGTGGTGTTTAGTGCTCTGGTCAGCACTTTTCTCTACTTCTGTAAAATTGAATCGTGCGCTCGAATGCTAGAAGAAGTTGGCGCTAGTGGAAAAGGTGCAAATATTGGTTTTTAATATTTTAATTTTTGTATTATTTTTGTATTTATTTTTGATTGGTGTCAAAAAGAAGAATAACTACGGTGTCTATTTTTATGCTCAACCTAATAACTGTTATTACTAAATCATCGGTGGTGTGAATTGCACAGCAGCTGCAAAAGCGCCTTTTCTCTCTTTTGCAATCAAAGTGCAATTTAAAAAGAGAAAGAAAGAAGAGGCAGTCACCTTAATTGTGTCATCATGAGCGTGTCATCGGGTTCAAAGACAAGTAAGCTTGTTGACAATCGATAGCGAAGGGCTTGTGTCAGTGTGTAATGTTTGTAGTGTAATAGTGGTCTTCGATGCGGCGGTCAGATTCACAGGCAGACTGTTGTAGTCCAAATTGACAGTTTGGAAGTTAAGAGTTGGCATTGAAGGAAAGGTGAGAGGAGAAGAGAAAAGGAGGGGAGGAGGTGAAACAAATCAAGTGCAACTAATGAATGAGTTAATGACCAGTGCGTGTAATGAACAAACAAACAAACATACAAACACCGAGGTGTCACTACGAATCTGCTGGGCATCATGAACTGTTCAGAGTATTTAGCAGCTGATCACCGGCAGGCACTGATCAACAGAAA